CGCCCGCTGGATGGGGAGGCAGCGCCCACCTGTCGTGCAGCCGGGATGCAGCACCGCGGAGGCCGAAGGACTCGCCTGGGGCAGTGCTGCGTGTAGGGTGCTCTCGGCTGTGCTCAGGTATCACTGCTGTCCTTTAGACAAAGCTCCAAACGTTTCTCATTCCCAGCGCTATGGCAAACCTGACGGAGAGCACCCAGCCTTTGCTCCTCGCCTTCAGGCTTCCCTCGCTTCCTCCAGACCTGGCGAGCGCCAAGAGGAGCTCCGCTTCCCCTCACCCCGGCTCACGTCCCGCACGCAAGTCTTCGCTCTCCGGGAAGGATGACGCCAGACACTTACTTGTTGCACTGCGGAAACCGAGTCAACAACTTCTCCAGCAGCTTTTCCAGCTTATCGGCCGGCTGCGGCCTGTGAAACTCCGGAGTGACGTTAACTCCTCCCAGGCCTGGCGGAGGAGGGATGGAGGCGGCGGGAGCCATGTGAGGGCCGTGCGTGCCCATAAGCGATGCCACGACAGGGCTGTTTCTTCCCTGGGAAGCAGGCAGCGGCGGGGAAGGCTGGTTGGGCCTGGAGATCGCAGGGTTCAGGAGAGGAAAGGAGAGCGCCCGAGGATCAGCACTCGGCATGACCATGGGAACGGGAACCGGTCCGATGGGAAATGGGAGCCTGGGAGTAAGGGATGGGTTGGGCTGGAATGCTGTCAGCATGAAATCTGTCTGAGAAAGAAAAACGGCGGGAGGAGAAAAGGCTGGTTAGAATAAGCCCACCCGAAAGCAGAGCCGAGCGCCTTCATCCCCAGCCAGGCAGGCAGCGGGCTGAACCACAGGCACCGCAGTGAGGGAGAGAGACCCTTCCCCTCCTTGCCAGGGACGGCAGGTAAGCCCGGACAGACATGGGACGAGCAGAGGACTCCAGAAAAGGCAATCCCGCACAGCCTCCTCCAACACGGGCAGCGCCAGCAACGGGCCAGCGGGCAGACTGTCCCCAGAGCCTCGCGGCAACTTCCCCACAGGGAAAACTTGCGTTCGCCAGGCTAGAGAGGCACTCACTTCTGAGGGAGGTGGCGGCAGCGTCGGGGTTGGGATCTGCGGGAGGCTGCTCAGCTTTGTTCCATTTCTCACCATCTGAATGTGGTCGTTGAACTGATCCTAGCAGAGAGAAAAGAAAACAGACGCCTTTATCAAAGCCTCTGCCTGAGGAAGTCTGGGGCACCACGTGCCTAGAACACGCAGACAGACCCCCCCTCTCTGGGCAGAGCATTCCCAGCCCTAGAACGGCCACAGGCCCTAAAGCAGACACACTTTGCTTCTCTGGGAGTCAAGAGAAGGAAAAAGGACCCAGAGGGAGAAACGGAGTAACTGCCTCTGCAATTAACCCAACACGCTGCCTTCGCATCCCCGCACGTGAGCCCGAAGAGGCGGGCGGATCTCTGCGGCTGCTCGCAAAGGCAGGCTGCCTGTGCTGTGCTTTTGGGCACACAGCTTTTTCTGGGTCTCGCCCCTCTCCCGAAGAGGGCTGATACTAAGCATGCAAAGTAGCATCGACGCGACAAACTGCTCGCTGTTAGGCTGGGAGCCATTCAACAGGAACTTACAAAAAAAAAACTTACTCGGACGCTTTCCTTGGTCATTCGTATCCTGTTCAGCCTCATCTCCCACTCCTGCTTTGGCCTCATTGTCTCCAGCGTGGGCGGCGCAGACCTGCAAGCGCAACTAAACTTTCCTACTTGCAACTGTGCTCTCACCGGCAGCAAAGCAGGAGCAACTGACACCCCGCAGCCTCCTGCCTTCCCCCATCGGGGCTCCCCTCCTCCGGCCGGGCGGGAAGAAGGGCTCACACCCAGGCAAGAAACCCCGCAAGAGGAGAGCGCGTGGTGCTACCGGAGTGCCGACTGATCCGGAGGACAGAGACACCCGCACCACAGCCGGTGCCATGCCTACTGCGCTCTGTCAAGAGCAGGGCATGCGTTCGGCAGATGAGCAACAACAGGGAGTAAGCACAGCCCCACACACCCTTGTTTTGCGACACTACTGAATCACTATTTCAATAAGAAAGCCACAGGAAACCTTGGAACCAGTTCAGTCAAACCTCCAGCATAAGCAGAGGAAGAGCAGATGGGTGCGTAGGGATGCTTGAGTTACCCTGCTGTTTCTGAGACTACCCGGACTTACTTGAGGTAGGTGAGGTGTAGCTCCGCTTCTTTTTCTGCTTCTTCTAGTTTCAACACCAGCAGCTCCTTTCGGCTCTCCAGGGACAGGATCTAGCAGAGAGAGGCCCCACATAACAAGGAGCTTTTTTGTGCTCCCTTGTTTCCCACTGCCAGACCGCGACTGTAATCTCTTCGCTAGGCACCAGCTAAGTCAGTCAGTCAGTCCCAGCTAACATTTACTGCACTGCTATTTGCTTATCCCTTCCCTTGTCCCACGGAGAGGGGGACTTGGCCTCATCCTCAACTGCTGCTGATCTCACGTAATCATTCATTACATCCTGGAATCTTAAAAAGACTCTCTTCAACTGCTTTGCAGGTAAGAAGTCGCCTACTGACCTCTGCTTTCCAGGCCCGTTCTGTCTCCTCAAGAATGTTCCTGTTGATTTCATTGTGCTGGTTCTTCAGCTTATCTAGCTCCATCTCCCACAGCTGCCTGCAGACAGAAACATGAGTCGGCTTAGGCTTAGGCACTGGAATGGCGTGGGACAGGAGAGATGACAAACTCCCACAAAACCGATCGATCCTGGTAGCTCTGGATGGGGTGAAACTGGAAGATCAACAGCTTGCAGATCATGACACCAGCCACAGCTCCCAAGGCTGCATGAGTCACCGTCCCAGGAGCGAGCTGCTCCAAAGCACGCAAACAGCCAGCGTGCAAACACGCTGGGCAGGACAAGGAGAGGGGAATCCCCCGCGGCAAAATGTGGCCCAGCTCCAGGGAAAGGTGCAGAGGTCTGAACCAGGAAGCGACCTCAGCCAGCACGCAGAACTAAGCCGTTCTGATCCTGGAGAAGTTTAAAGCTGGCCCTTTCCACCTGTGTTACGCGAGCATCTGTGTCTGGATCTGGAGCTTCTCTGCCCAGCTTTAAAATACCTGAGCGTGCCAGAGTTTAGCGCAGTTGGGCAGCTGCGGGGAACAGACAAACAGCTTTGCCCTAATTCTGGGAAATCAGAGGTAGCAGTTACAAGCCGAGTTGATCCACGGAGCATAAACTCTCATCTTATGGAATCTTTATGTCTCAAGTATCTATGAGCCTGCTTGTGACCAGGATCAAAGAGGACCTAATCCAGAGAGTGGGGGCACCAGCCTGCTGGAAGAGGAGATAACTGGACAGCACTGTTAGAGCGCTCTCTCTAGCCTTCCCCGCCAGAAGGATCAGATTCACTCCAAGGCAAAATGACTGGAAGGAAAAGAGCATTCAACAGCATTACTCCGGTAATAGGCAATAGCCTTACTTTTCATCGGACTGCTCTGCGATCAGAGAAGCAATCTTGTTTTCCTTCTCCTCCTGCTCTTTCAGCAACCTGCACGAGAGAAAAAGGAGAGACCGAGTCACCTACTGCGAAGACGTTACCTCCCAGCCGCTAACGCCGCAGGTCCCCGGTTTAAGCAGCACACTGGCACAGCTGCGCGCCCAGCGTCACGATGTGCTCTGAAGACTGTGCCGTTCAGTCGCTGTCTGAAAGCAACCACGAGCATCCTCCAGGGCAAAAATTCTGCTGTATCATGACACTGCACGAAGACTGTGGCATAGAACCAGCATCCACCACGGGGAGCTGTGCTGCTCCGACAACGCGCGCTTTGCAGCCATTCACTCGGGGTGAAACAGGGGCCAAGGACTTGGAGCCATTACTAAAGGAGCTTTATCCAAAAACATCAGCGAGCCCTCAGAATAAAAAAAAAAAATCAGACCTCTACGACACAACAGAATGGCTCTGTAAAAGCGCAAAGTCACCATCCAAAGGAACCTTCAGATCTTCACAAACAACCCATGTCTTGCTTGTGTTAGACCCCGCCCCGGACCTCGCAAGATTCTTCACCCATCTTACAGCAAAGCCCGATGGCAGCAGTCAGCCTTTCAAACCGTTCGGCATAAGGCACAATCGAGCAGCCTGCCGCAACGGGAGATTTTGAGGAGAACAACTTGGAACGGCCAACGAGACCCTACCCCGAGCGCTGCAACGCAGCGGTCCTGCCTCCTGCGGAAAGGCTCTGGGTTCGGAAAGACGGCAGCACGCAGAGCCGAGCTGCATGGTATCCTTGCCAAACGCTGTCCCTGTGTACACCTAAGAGGCAAAGCAGTAACCTGCTGCCCCAAAATTCGGGTTAAGATCTTCTGTAAAGAAAAGCTGCTCTGTCCCTAGTAGATCCCTTCAAAACTGTACAGGTCTGTCCCAAACTGCTCGCCAAAACAGTCACTGCTCCCAAAAAGCCTGAAGTGATCCTCTTTTGCTTAAGCATGTATACATCAGGGTTAAGCTATGCCTTTTATCCTAAAAAAAACCCTACCCCTCTACTTGCTTTTCCATACTAATACCTTCTGCCTTTCTCACAGAGTTTCTCAATTTCTGCTTTCAGATCCTGCTCTTTCTGCAAGAATTCTTTCTTTTCTTTCTCCATCTTCTTCTTTGTCTCTTCCCGCTTGATCGTAACATCCTGAATGGCTTTCAGGATCTCCTAGAGTAAAACAAGCATTGCACAAATAAAGAGCAGAATTCCCAAGCAACGGTTTTGTTTTTAAATCCACTGTTATTTTAGATTAATGGAAGAGAGATTGTGAGATTACACGCGTCATTGAAATCTTTCTTTTCAGTAGATGCAGGCAAGATGCATAGCCTTGTTATGAGGAAACCCAGGAGACAGACACAGGGTCTAAACCATAGAAGGATTTTAAGGGGCAGTGAGTTGTGCTCTGGTTTAGATCTAGCTGATGCGATGGTTCCTTTTGTCTTAACAAAAGCGTGAGCTACCACAGGGCCAGTTGTGAATCACTCATTTAACCTAATGATCCCCAAGCAGCGGCCGCAGATATCGAATCACATGGAGCTAATTATCCTCACTTCGCACCAGTTTTCACTCAGAAAAAAGGCCGAGACGTTGCAAGATCACTGGCAGGAGCGGATGCACACGCAGGATGCCGTGTTAGGAATTAGTTCTGAACTGCTTGGCACCCCAGGTTGGGCGGGGGCTGGTCCTTAGCGCTGTGAAACTGTGTGGTACCCAAGAGAAACTGCCGTGCAGCGTGCTGCTGCTCACGGCCCGCTCTGCTCCTCTGCACGAGGCCAACGCAGCCCTCCTTAATTGTGTAAGCAGCAGTGCTAAGAGGCAGGTTAAAGAAAAAAAAGAGTCAACTTTGCCAAATACCTGGTGGTTCTTCATCTCTTCTTCCCTCCGCTGCTGGAGCTGCTTAAGCTGCACCTGCAGCTGATTCTCCACTTGCCTCTGTTTGTCCAACACCTCCTGGTAGCGCTCCTTCAACAACGCCCTCTCGGACATCATTTTGTCCTGCAGCGGAGAGTGGATATTTAGGGAGAACCTCCTGCTTCCCCCATCCCAAAGAGAGTGCGGACAGGGGCAGGGAAGCTCAGCAGTGCCTAAGGACCTAGCGGGCGCTGCTGTCAAGAAGCACAGATAAACGGCTTCCACTTTCCAAGCTTGGGCTCTCTTGATCAGAAAAGACGAAGGGAGGCACTGCCTGCAGCCGCAGCTAGTGCTGCATTTCCTCCTTTAAAGAGGACCGCCTAAGAGCTCCAAGGCTGGCACTAAAGGAGGAAAAACTCCCCGCGGGAAGAGCAGCGCTCCAGCTCCTTTGCCCGGGGAACGGCAGCATGGGAGCGCAAGCAGCAGGGCCTGGCCCCGACCGCAGGGCTTCGATACCCACCAAGTTCTTCTCGATGTCCTGATCCGTGCTGACATCCGTATCGGCCGTCTTGAAGTCGGTCTGCAAAGGGAGACGACCGCTGTCAGACCCC